TTGGTAACTTCTGTTTTAAATTTGGAAATCTGAGATAGGCTCTCTTAGCTCCTGTTCATTATTTCAGTGAGCCTCCCTGATACTTGAATATACTGTATGTAACCAGAGGGATATGTTTTGTGTCTTTTATTTTCTTAAAATTTTTAATTACAGTTGACATTCAATATTATGTCAGTTTCAGGTGTACAGCACAGTGATCAGACATTTATGTAACTGGCCAAGTGATCCCCCGATAAGCTTAGTGCCCCTCTGACACCACAGTTATTACAGAGTTACTGACTCTGTCCCGGTGCTGTACTTCACATTCCGGGACTGCTCTGTAACCACCAGCCTGTACTGCTCCACCCCTTCCCCTTTTCCGCCCATCTCCCAACCTGCCCCCACCGGCAGCCATCAGTCTGTTCTAACCAAAAGCATCTCTTAACTGTCAGCGAGGAAGTTGAAAAAAAAGAACATCTTTATCAACTTTAAAGTCAGTTCTAATTATTATACTATATATTTTAGAATGAAATATCAAACAGCTGTGCCTCCCCTTGGTCAGTTAACACTTTCTTAATCTTGTAGTGTTAACTTCCTTCTAGTTCAGGGGTCCTCAGAATGGGGGCAGTTTTCCCCCGGGGGTATGTGGCCGTGTCTGGAGACTTTGGTTGTCCCACCCGGGAACTGCTGCTGGCACAGTGGGGTGGGGTGGGGGCCTGGGATGCAGCTAAGTGTCCTACGTGCCCAGCACAGTCTCCCAGAGAGTCATCCGCTCCTATGTGTCAGCAGGGCCAATGTCGAGAAACCCTGTTCTAACTGAACCCTCTGAGGCTCTCTGAATTGTCAGTGAGACGTTGGGATGGTATTTTGGAAGATTGTATGAATTTCTTGTGAAGGGAATCTGAAGCTCTGTGAGGTCTCAGTAAGAATTTGGAAAAATTCACATTTATTCAGTTTCTCTGCCCAGATTTTCACTGAAATATTTTAGTGACATCATTTTTGGCCTTAAGAATAAGCAGGTTCTTGTTGGTAAATGCAGGTGTTATTAAGGCCAGAGGCTATAGGGAGAGACGACTAGGTCCCGAACGCCAGCCCTGCCTCCTGATAACTTAGGTGTATGTGAGAATTCCAGCTTGGTGTTCAACCACGACGTTCGCCTTCTGATACCGTGGAGGCCTTGCTGACCCTTTGGGGTGGCACTTCTCCACAAAGTTATGCTTAGTACTGTGCCTGCATTCTCTTCTTGTACAATAACTGTAACTGCTTTCCATTGATGTCATTTTAGATCAAGCTAGTGAAGAAAAAAAACGACTTGAGGAAAAACAAAGAGCAGCTCGAAAAAACAGGTCCAAGTCGGAAGAGGACTGGAAGACGAGGTGCGTGCTCTTTCAGGCCCGGCAGCTGAGCCCCCGGGCGCTGCCGTGTGGGGCAGGCAGGGCTGTCAGATCCGAGGGTGAACTGCCAGGGAGGCCTCACTGAGCCCTGCCACATGATTCCTGGGCCTGAGGGAGAAGTTCTTTCCACTGAGTATTCGGGCTGAGAGAGTTGATGTGTGACAAAGAAAAGAGAGCATTTGGAAATTAAGGTTAAAATAGTCCCACACAATTATCACAGGTAAATGCCAACTAAGAAAACGATCTTGCTTCCTTATCCAGCAAAGCCCTGTCCTTTTCATATGTCTGATGAGAAGTAAAATGCAGAACTACAGGTTCTGGCATGAAAATAGGCTCAGAGCCATTTGTTTATATGTATGTGAGTAAATTGCAAGGCTGTTTGCTTATGCATATATCATGCACTTTTTTTCACGTGGAGGGCATGTGATGATACTGGCAGAGGTTTCCAGACATGAATGCTGAAAAGTAGGAGAGCCAGAAGTGGAGAGAAACCCTAATCCTCTGCGGCAGACCATCGACCTCAGGGTGCTCACCCCTAGTGCGTGTTCACACTCTGCCCGAGAACGAGTGAGCCCCGAAGGGAGGCTTGCAGACGTGCTCTTTAGAGGACTGTGCTCACATGCTGTTAAATCTACCAATCTGTGACATGTCTCATTGCGACTTTTCCTCCTCTCTGTTCTCTATAGAGGAAGTCCTGTGGCTCAGGGCCTCAAGCTTGGTTAAATCTTAAAATTGTTTTTGGCCACCCTGATTTTGATTGGCCAGCTTTTCTGAAGTGCTTGCCTTGCTACATCTGATGACAAAGTGCTTCTTCTACTGCTGAGATTTTTGAGACCCAGGACAGTATGTAACCCTCTACTTCATATTGGACATAAAGTCTGTGGCTTTGACCAAATAATGGTTCCTTAATATATTTCTAGTTTGGTTACCAATGTCTGAATCATATATAGAGTGATCGTCTATACATTTTCTAATAAGGGACAAGTCCCAAAAGCTAAATTATTTATGTAATAATATTTCTAAAAATTGGGTCTAATGGCATTTACTCTGTGATACTTCGAAGAATTAGCCTAGTCTGAAGCATTTTTTTTCCTCTCAGGGTTTTTAGAGCTTCTGTAGTGACAATAGTAACACCTGAGACTTAACCTAACGAATCTAACCTCACACTTAATTGTAAATATTTTTAGAAGCAATTTATTTGGAAAGAATGGCAAAGAAATTTAAGACTGTTTCCATAAATGCTACTCTAGAAATGAAAACATATTTAGAAAGTGTTGCACAAATTTAATTGTGAACCTTTTGGGCAAGTAGGTTTGCATTCTCGTTACCTCAGAAAGCTGGGACTCCGGGAGATGCGTCACATGTTTTTTAAAGGTCAAGAAAATGATTAGTGCAGCACCTTCTAGAATTAAATAAGACAAGATATTGAAAGCTAGGCTATAACCTAAGAATCCATATAAGCATGGAGAAAACTGAGGCCCAGAAAATTTGGACTAGATTAATGTCAGTGCATTATCAATTATTAGCTCGGACAAGTTATTCAACCTAACATTCAGCTATTTTTGTAAAACAGCTTTAAGAGCTTGGGGGCATTTACTGTGAACTGGGCACCTTACACATTACTGTAGGTGTGTTGTCAAAGTTAATTTTATCCCAATTTCTTATTTCTAACTGCCTTTAAAAGGATGACTTCTAGTGGAAGGAATGGGACTAGAGGACGAACAGTTAGACAAACATACTGGTTCTAACAGCCCTACCAAACAGAAGATCCTAATTCTGTTAAGGGGCATTTCTGAATGCCGTGGAAAACCTATAAACCTTTTGCATGGTATCTCCACACACTTTGGAACATTATTCTACCTGCGTGCTCTCCAAAGGGGAAACTGGAACTCCATACTCTTTGGGAATCCCGAACTCACAGACTGAACTAACTGCTGCAGCAGGGAAGTACTGGGAGCACAGCAGCAGGTACCCCGTGACTTCGGTTTCCCCTGCCAATCATGTCTTCTCTCTTTGAACAGGTGGTTCCATCAAGGTCCCAACCCCTACAACGGAGCACAGGACTGGCTTTACTCGGGCAGCTACTGGGACAGAAACTACTTGAATTTGCCTGACATTTATTAAAATGCAGACAAGTCAGGGTGTTTGGCTAATCTACAAATAAGTCGTAAACCTATGTTTTTAATTTTTTTCCCTTTGGTTTCTACTCATCTTTAAAAAAAGAAAACCCACTCATAACTTGCATTTCACCCAACAAAAGTAGGGCATAAGGTGATACTGTTGGTGAAAGTCTTACAGAAAATGGGTAATTTTGCTATCCATACTTATTTGGAATACTATTTTATATAGAGGTAATAGAACTGCTGGAGAATATGCTTTTTTATGGTTGCTGTTGCCATAATTACTGAAGGTTTATACCTAAATGTAACTTTAGCTTTATGAAATTATACAGTAATCCCAAATCAAGTTATTTTGAATATTTTATGCTGTCATGCTTGAATGTTTTAGATGTAACTTTGAAATGTTTAGAATTCTCCTGTACAATGTTTATGTGCTCGAATGCAGAGGTTATGTCATTTTGTAAAGACTATTGATAAGATGGCTTTTCTTCTAACCCTCTCAATTTTCCCCATCCCCACCTCCAAACAGAAAAAAAAAAAAAGCCTGAATAGTCAGAATAGGTGTTCCTGATTTGAAAATTCTAAAGAATTAAACTGAAAAAGTATTTCACTTTCTGTAGTGCTCCGAATTTGCTTTTACAATTCTGTAATCCGTCATTAGAATTAAGAGGTGTTTAATTGTTCATGTTCGAATTGAAAATATGTATAAAATCTACCAATTCACAGAAATCCCCTAGAAATAGATTCTAATCACCAGTACCATTATGTAATGACAAACCTTTTTAAATGCTTCACCTTCCAGTGGCCAGTGCCACCAAAGAAATTAAGTTGCACTCATGTATTATAACTGTCGAACTGTGTAACAGGAGGGCTTGTGCATTTCAAGTTGGCAAGGCCCCTGTGTACTTAAACTATGTATGGAGACGACCTGTACAATAGCTTTGCCCCTTTAATTGGGGTACATTATTAATCTTATGTATTTATCCACCTGACCATAGACAGAGATACTGCTCCAAGGGGCCTTAGGTAGCTGCCAGTAAATTATTTTCATTGCTATCTTGAAGTTAACAAGTGTTATAATGAAATAATCTATCTGATGCTAAATAAAGGCTTTAGAATGTTACAAGTGTGATTTCTTCTACACTTTCAAATGTACTAATGTTGCCACTTCATACCATCCTAAGTTATCAATAATGTCCTTACAAAGAAGTGAGGCGCTGCAGCCCCTGGGGCCAGCGTCGGCCGGCCAGCACACTTGGTGGGGAGCAGGCATTCTCTGGGGAAGTACAGCATCACAGCAAGGCGCTGCTCTCCATGTGGTGTGAATGCCAAAGACAGACTTATCAAATGGGAGTGCCTGGCTAGAAAAGCTAGAAAATTTTGTTTTTTAAACAATGTGTACACGAGTTGGAAAATACTATGATGTCACAAGTCTGAAAAAACTTAAAGGTTGTGTTGTTCGTATACCTCCTAAATTACAAAACAAGCAAGAATACAAGGTTCTTTGCTTGCATGCAGTTTATTGATCCATTATGCTTGGTGGCAGACTCGATCTTAAAAAAGTCGACTCAGACAGCCTCATTTCCAGCATCTGTTAGAAATAATGTAAGTGGCGAATTATTTAATCATGAAACTGAGCATATGAAATGAGTAGATCAGAAATGCAAGGTATACCCTCCTGCTGTTACTAAGCTTTAACCTAGTCAGTTACCTGTGCATTTGCATGAAAATATCCTAGCAGTTCATCCTGAAAACAGCCATTTTGACAATTCCCCTAAAAGTCTAAAAAGGGGATAAGAAATAGCCTCAACATATTTTGATAACTGAGAGCCAGCACCTTAAATATAACTACTTATCCTGTGAATGAAACCTAGCTCTTCTCCCTCAGATGTTCAGCTTGAAATTCCCACAGATTGTTTTAAGTGACTGAACTCTCTGGTGTATAGTCATAACTCCTCTATTATATACTCTGAACTTACCTCCCTGCTTCTGATGACCTCCTGATTTGTAACCCTTTTCCACATAGCAGGGAGCAGGATCTGTCATTCTTCTGGTTTCTCATTCAGTCCAAATCTCCCTCTTCATGTCTCTAGCTTCCTCTTACCTACCCTCCCCACCACCTCATTTCGTCCTGCTTGCCGAGTCTCCAACCCCCATGCTCTTTCCTGCCCTTGGGCTCTTTGCAAGGCTGGCCTCTCGCATTCTCAGGAACCAGTTTACATCTGAGCCTACTAAAGGAGGGCCTGTATCTGCACCTCAATTTTTTCATAAGACTTGACACACTGATTTACTTTTCGGTCCTCTTCCTCCACTAAAGCGTAGGCTCCATGGTTTGCCCACTTTACACATGGGGAGGAGGGACTAGCATTGGCTTTAAGTCCTGATTGAAAAAATTTTTAAGTGACAGTAAAAACTCTCTTATCTATGTTTAATTGCACTTTGTCTCTTTAGCTCTTTAATGTTTCCAACCTGTCCATTTTGCTGGAAATATTCCCTCTTAAGAGGGAAGGAACTCTTGCTACACTGACCAGATATTCCATATAGAATCTCTCATCTCACACCCTGCTCTCCAGGTGTTCCCAACTCTATGGCTCGCCTCTGCCCCTCCCACCCCTTAAACATGCCAGATTGTGAATTCCCATATAAGAGTGCCCCTTAAAAAAAAATCCACCCACTTTTAGCATCTCCCATGGGGGCTATACACAGAAGCAGGGATTCAAAGGTGGCTGGGTTGATGGGTCCTTGTGTCAGGCACCAAGTCCGTGTTGTGAGTTGTCATGGTGTAGTCACGTGTGTGCATGTCAGTAACTGGTGGGAAGGAAGCTGGAGACAGTCTTGCTAGATTAGACTGTACTCCAACTCACTGCATGTTTCAATGCAATTCAATTTTTAAAAAATCTCAGTCTCCAGGTCAACAAATCAAAATATTGAAAACACACGTGTGTTAAGGCCCACATATGGTAGGAAAATTTACCTGCCAGTTTTAAGTTTCTGCTCTGCGAACACTGGCAGAAGTCACGGTTATTTCTCCAGCAATACCGTAACTTCCAAAGGGAGTACGTTTGTCACCAGATCCTGAACCTTTTTTGGCTACATCTTCTACTGGGAAAGCAACAGAGAAAAAAACTGGGCTTTGTGGCCTGGGGCCATCTTGTCCACTTGTAGGCGGACTGACATTCGGGGGGGTTGGGAGGTGTTTCTGGAATTTCTGATCTGCAGGAACAGCAATGGGTACTTGGACCGCAGCGTATCTCTTCAAGGTGTCTGACTGGGGAACAGCGTGTCCAGGAAGAGGTTTCCAGTCCTGTGCTTCCTGAACATTTGAGCCTACTAAAATAAAAGGTGGGGCACTGGTCTTCTTGCTGTCGTCCATCATCACATACGTTGGAGAAGTGACTTTCGGTGAATTCTGTAGATCCTTAGGATTAGATAAATAGAGGGTTGCTTGGGGGAAAGGCCCAGGTGCAGGTGGCGGTAATGGGCGACTTTGTTGATTCATATCAGTTAGACAGTAAAGGGTCCACATGTTAGAATATGGTGGTGGTTGTCCTGCTTCGCTTGTTGCTATTGCTATAAAAAAAAAATTTGCAGGCATTAAAGGTTTGGTCTCTGTATCAGGCGCTATGCACAGAAATATCTTTGTAAATGTTTTTACATATAAACAAAGAGCTGTAGTAATATGTGCCATAAAGCATGCTATAGAGAGGGCTAAGTGAATTGTTTGGTAGTATGAGAGAGATTCTCCACAGCTGGAAGATGAGGACAGTGCTGTGATAGTGCGTGGCAAGGACACGAATTGTGGCTGAAGATGCAATCTCATTCCAAGTTGCTGTTTCCAGGTACTTGTACTGTGTGTGAAGCCATTGAAAACAGGGTTCATGCCACATCTGCATAGTGATTTTCATCTTTACTAAAAATGTCTGCACTAGGTGTCATCTTTTGATCACATGATCAAATATCTTTGGCTCTTCACAGGCACCGTTATCTCCCATTAGTTTGTCATCACCCAATCTAACTCACACTCAGAATCCCAGAGCAGCATCCCTTTCAAGCAAGGCTTGAAACCCCACATCCTAGGGGGCAGTGAAAGTCTGGGTGGTCCCCTAGAGTTCTTTAATAAAGGGAGGTCTAGGCATGCCATGCATCTACTTCCACCAAGGACTCTCTAAGGTCAAGGTTGGTTTGCCTAATGGAGAGAGAATGCCCTAGAGCACTGAGCCCTAGACGATGGGGTTGGGGGAGGCTCCTGACGGAAGAGCTGCACTGTGCCCGCACGTGCGGGGCTCACCGAGGAACACTGGGCCGCCCGTCCCTGGGGCAGCTGCTCCTCCCCAGGAAAGAAAATACCACCGATATGCACATGATTAAGCTGGTGTGTTGTCAATAGCTTCAGATACTTTTGATATTTCTTGAAGCTAATTTAAAAATACGCATAAGCCAAGCCTTCGGTGTTTTTGTTAAATAACCTCTCAGTGCTTACATGAGAAACAGTTAAGCAGCTGAGAACAGTAACTGGTTAGGACAGCGCTGCTACAGCCACAAGTGCAATGCCAGTCCCAGCGCGCCACCCCCAGCACCGGCCTCAGCCTTTTCAGCTGTGCAGGATCCCGGTCACATTGCCAGACAGAATTTCACCTCTATGAACACCTGCTTTGTAAACATTTATCATTCTGGCTCTGTTAAGAGTCAAAATTGAGAGATTCTGCAAGAGGAATGGGAGAGGCTGGCCCATGCACGTCCCATCTATCCCTGAAGGGAGAAGGGCCCCTGCACTTGTCTGGGGGGCGGGAGGGGGGCAGACCAAGTGCCATCATTAGATAGAGATGGAGGTCAAACCAGGTCTGTGTCACAGGAAAGCAGTAGCGATAGTTCACAGCAGTCAGGAAAGCAGCCTGGTGTGGGCGCTTGGGAGGAAACCGATGGGAGGAAGCCAGTCCTTTTCGCTGTGCCCACATTGCTCAAGTGCCTGCCTGACCTTCCTGCTGCCACTACTGCCCTGCTCCCCTGTGTGACAGCACTTCAGCCTGACCTGTCTTCTCCATCCGGCCCTGGAGCTGCTCCCTCCGCTGCGGGAAGCTCCCAGGCAAGAAGTCGGTGCTTGATCCAGCTCCCCAGACCTGGTTGCAGAGCTCTCCTGACTAGGGGCGAAAGCAGGTCAAACACACCACCATTTCTTTCACTTTTTAAATGCCATGGCCTAGGTAAATGCACTGCTGTAGTTTGATTTTTACATCCACAAGTGAGACATCTCTAATACCACCTCCTAAGTTACAGTTTTGCAATAGGAGTATTCAGATCACATGACTGTATTTGTACCTGACAACAGGCTCTGACGTTTTTCACTACATAGTAGGTTCAGAAGAAAACCATGAAAGTGGCTAGATGCTAGATGACCAAACTTGGAGGCCAGATTTTGATGTCGCCTTAAAACCACTCATAAGAGTAAAATCTCAAATGCAACAAAGCCTTTAAATAGGTCTGGCATTTTAAAAACTATTAAAAATAAAGACTTTGACCAATCTGCAGGGAGCCTACCTAGATGGTTACCTAAAATACAGACGTTACCTGAAATGTAATTTTTAATGGTATAAGTATCTAATTTCCTTACCTGGTTCCATCAAACCTTGTTCAGGTGCTGCTTCCCACTCTGGTTCGATTTCTGGTTCAGTAAGCCCTTCTGGCACAGGCTTGGGGGGGCCACTAGATGATCTTATAGATGCACCTGAGTGCACAGCTTGTATGGCTTCCCCAGAGACCTCAGCTTTGATCTCCGTCTCCTGGGATTCAGGGTTTTCCACCTGCCCAGGGACTAGCGCAATGATCTCCACTTCAAGGCGCAGAGATTTTTCAGAGCCTACTGCTTTGGTAGAGCCCTCTACATCCAGGGATTGCGCAAGCAGACCTTTCAAAGAGGTTTCAGAGATCATAACAGTTGCTTCTGCCTCCATATGTAATGAGGGATGTTTTGCATCCTCCAACTGTGCAAATTTTGCAGAACCTACAGATTTTTCAGACATGCCTGAGGCTGTCTTTACAAGAGTGGGACTACCTGATGGTAACAGCTCAGTCTCTTTAAGACTAGCAGCGCGATCAGGGAAAACTATTTGTTCTGGTGGTTGCTGCACATAAACAACTCCTTCAATCACAGGCTCATCATTATAGATGGATGATATGTGAATGGGTGATGTAACCTCAGGACCAGCCTGCAAAGGGACCTTAGGAGCTGCATCACAAGCAGGAGGTTCTTGTTCATCCTGCAAGGGGAGTGAGGAAGCCGTTGATAGTTCAGCCTTACTGTCTTTAGGTTTAGAACCCGAATCTACATGGACAGGGGAGTGGCTCACCACCTGCACTGCCACCCCCTCTCCAGAATACACAACAGAAGCAGCCACCACGTTATCTTCAGCAGCCTCTGAACTCAGCACCTCGTTGGCAATAACGGGCATACTTGTTGCCACGTCCACCATTAAAACGTCAGACTGATCAGAATGAATAGATGAAACTTTACCTAACATCTGAGCAGCAAACTGAGCTGGGTCGGCTGGGACATAGGCAAACTCTGGTGAGACAGCTGCTGGACATGGTGATGAGGGTGGGGTAGGAATCTCGGGGGTGGATGGTTTTGAAGGACCACGAACTGCTTTAGTTGTCTCCTCAGGCTCAGCATAAACTGATGGGAACTGCGTGGTTTTGTTGCTAAAGAGTGATCCAGTTACACTGTCCTCCTCTGTGTTCGTAGATTTTTCCATCCGTGAAGGTTCTTGGGAAACTATAGATAGTCCTCTTGATTCTTTTGCGCATTCTGGTTTCCTCTCTTGTGACATTCCTTCAGACCACTTCTCAACTAAAACAACAGCCAGACAATTAATAAAATATATCCCCCAAATAAAGAATTTTAAAGAAAGCAACAATAGGATAAACATTCAAGTGTCAATACTATATACACAAGTACAAAAAAGTTTTGCTTTATCTTCAACATCTGTGATTTAATGTGGGTAATGAAACTTTCTCATTCTTTCCACTTAAAAGATGCCTCCCTCAGTTCATCTCCTTAAAAATAAGTGTCTCCAAGTAGCACAGTGACAAAACTAATCAGATACCACTTTCCACTGGCCAACATCAAAGGGAAGACCCCAACTCTGCCTAGAAATAAGGAAGGTGAAAACGTCCGTGGAAAAAGCTGCTGACCCAAACTTCCACACACAACCGCTGAAGGGGGGAAGACTTAAATCTGGCCAATAAATCTTCACCTAGTGTCACAGAAATGAGACAAGTGCTGTCATATTAATAAAAGCATTCCTCAATTTAAGGAAACTGGTGTATAAAGTTTAATGTAATGAATTGGAAGACTAGGACTATCAGGATGTTTTTATATCACGAAACATATATTCCAATGTAAAGATGGTAGCACCTGCTGGTGAGGCAGGATAATGCAGCCAAAGTCCTGCTGATCCAGACAAAAAACAGAAATGAGATTTGTGGATCTGTGTGTGTGGACTTAGTGAATCCTCAGGCATAAGGGACACTGATTGCATAGAAGGTCAAGACTGCTGCTGATAGAAACTCCGGGAGCTGGAAAACGAAAATCACTTTCTGCTCGTCACCCACGCCACTAAGGTGCAACCACCTTAGTCGTAACTCATCCTTTTCATATCTGCTTACTTTACTGAGGATCTTCAGCATTTCCCTAATATTATAGTGAAATCTGTAGGAAAAGTAGAATTTGCTTCACAAGAATGTGTTTGCTTCGAGTCAGAACTTTGGAGACATTTTCATAGGTTCAGCTGCTTCCTGGAGAACAGTGTCTTCCAGTGTCTCCTTCCACTGTAGCTGCTGATTTCTTGTAAACTCACGTCAGCTGTCTTAACTCTTGGACATGGACACCGCACCAAGTGCTCATGGACAGAAAAAGGAAAGCTACACCTCCTGTTACCTACCCCCTGCTTAGAAAAGGAACCTCATTTCCCTAACCGGTCATCTAATGATGGTTCTAATAAAGATCCGGGGTCATTCAGAGGAGGACAAGAACAACTCTGGCTGGGTGAATATGGGAAATTTTACTTAAATAAGTCTGGTCTTACACTTGATGTATATAGAGAGCTGCAGAATGAGGCAATGCCAGATAAATCTCACGTTAACTTTTCTTGAGCCCAACAGAGTCACAAAGCAACCACTTGATACAGAGCAACCAGCCCCTCCATTAGGTAGCAGCTAGGAGTGAGCAGCCCGAGGGGAAATGGGGAAATGAAGGCAGGGCCCTGGCCAGTACAATCTAACGAAGAACTCAATATAGGAGTCTAGAAGCAAAAGGAAGTCCTGTCTCACCAAGTGTCTCAGCAGTCCTGAGCTCAGTTTCGTAAGATAGCCAGGTGTTCTGAGCATCACAAGCAAAAACAGGGGACCAAGGTGAGTCCTTGAGAAGGGGGGCTTCTGTAACAGTCTCACTAGGATCGCCCGATGTTCTGAACATCACAAGTGGGAACTGCACAGGAGGAAAAGAGGGGCCTATACTGGGAGGGGAGCCTCTGTAACAAATCCACTAACACAAAGAGCCTTTACTAACTGAGAAAGAAAGCTTTTGTAGCTATCCATTGTGCCCAAGATTTAGAAGGGGGAGAAGGGAGGGAACCTCCTCCTCCTGACTATGCTGATTAAGGTGTCTAACCCCTGAATCCCAATAGTCTGCATACTTAGATTAGCTAAGAATTCACTTGTAGCCTCGGCTCAAGTGTACAGAACAAACTTACTAATAAACTTATTAACGACTTTATTTCCTCAATATGTGGGGCATTTAGACTAGCCGTGCCTGCTTGCAGCTTTGTGCTCATGCGTGTTTCATACATAAACTTGCTATCTCATTTCCACTATGCACGCTGTCTCTCGTTTGAATTTGTCTCTTTCGACAGAAAAAACCGAGGTGGGGGCAGGGGCCTCCTGATTTGGGTCTCTCTCCCGCCTCCGGAACTCCTCCAAAGAAAAAAGGGCCATGAGACTCTTGTCTATGGCAGGGCCCGGAAAGGAGGGCCCCCGCCATAGCAGCTGGTAAGGTGTCACCAGCTAGAATCTCAACATGCTGTTGAAGGCCAAATGTGGGCTGTCAGTCTGGAAGAGCCTGGGGCTCCATCCCAGGAGAGTGCGACTCACAACACTTTTCCATGGGCCTCACATGAGAGACAGGGGTCTACACCAATGCCACACAGAGGTCTCCTACTCCAGGGGCAGAGGCCGAAAACACTTGCTCAAGGCTGACCTCAGATACGAGGCAGAGTTTGGCTGCCAGAGGACGACCAGCAGGAACACTGAGCAAGTCACACCCCAAGGCCCAGGGGCCCAGGGGTGCAGGGTCAGCCTGGGCCAGAGAACCCCGTCCCCTGACTGCAGCCCAGCACCAAGCAACAAACAGCGGGCTGCCCCTGGGTGAGGAGTAAGAGTGAGTGTAGGGAGAGCCCTCTGTGGTGCAGGTTGGCAGGGAAAGCAGAGGGTGAAGCCCAGATGCAGAGAAGCTCCCTGGCACTCAGCCCAGGGGCACAGCAGCCCACTCCCTAAGGAATGCGAGGCCTGCGGTACCATGAGGGTAAGGATCGCCACCACAAACCCAGCCCAGCCTCTGACTGGACCGCCCTCCTCACCCTGACACCAACTCAGGGCCTCCCTCTATGACTCCGGTTTCCCCAGGTCTTCAGTTCCCTTGTGATTTACTTACCACGAGTCCTCCAGAGCCCAGCCAATCTAGGGATTGGATTACTGCAGTTCCCACATTGCCTGCAGGGACCTCCCTGACACACCACTGACATGATATGGTTTCAGCGACTCGGGAAAGGCCCACCTGCCCTTTAAAAGTGTCTGCCTTGCAGGGGTGTGGCAGCTATAATTACATCTAGGAGGTCAATCCCCAGCTTCTGCTTTTACCTCTCTAAGTCCCCTATTAACAGTCATTCTGGAAAGCTAAAGCATTGTGTAATCATCACTCATTAACAACTCTCTGGGGAATCTATGACACTGCTTCCTTCCCTGCGACGTCTTCATACTGAAGTGAGTGTGAGAAGCCCGGGGTATCTGTCCCAGCTGCATGACCCGGGCCAAGTCAGCAGCCTGAGCTTCACCCTCTTTTCATCTGCAAAGTAGGGATTATAATCCTGACCTCACTGAGTTTTTGTGGAGATTAAGTGGAACCATTTATCTCAAAGTATTTTACAAACTGTAAATCAGATAAATGGAGAGTGACTTAATTTAGATAAAAAGTAAAAAGTTTTGAAATAGGATATCAAATTAAAAGTTATAAACCTCATGTCTTTAATTCAGCTTTGATTAAAATTAAATTGGCTACTTCCTAAACTGGGTGATAAAATGCACACACACATATACACATGTCATATACTATTTTGAATATATTTTGCAATTCTAAAAGATTAACTTGAGATCAGATGCCTTATTATGCCTTAAGTTTTAAAACAGTGTTTTTGAAAATGCAAAGCACCGGCCCTGGCTGGCGTAGCTCAGTGGATTGAGTGCAGGCTGCGAACCAAAGTGTCGCAGGTTCAATTCCCAGTCAGGGTACGTGCCTGGGTTGCAGGCCATGACCCCTCAGCAATCGCACATTGATGTTTCTCTCTCTCTCTCTATCTCCCTCCCTTCCCTCTCTAAAAATAAATAAATAAAACCTAAAAAAAAGAAAGAAAAGGAAAATGCAAAGCACTATATTAACCATGGCTTTTAGAGTACATGAGAGAATGTTAGCAAATATATGAATGCTAGTTACACATATATATATAACAAATTGATATGGAGTTCCTATCACTACCTGTTTATTAAGAAAGGTAAAGAGCTTTTCTCTAATCATTTAAGACAGCAATTCCAAAGATTGCTGACCTGTTACCTGAAGATTATGTTTGTGCAGAAAACTGTATTTCTTAAAAGTTGTCGACTAGATTTGCTACAGGTTGATCTTACTTATCAGCCTTATGAAGATTAACCCAATATGATCTCAATGATCTGGTTCTACTTAACCAAACAACAAAAACCTGCACAGGCACTCAGAATTAAGAATATAACTAAAGGCACTGCTCCCTATAAAAGGCATACATATTCTTTTTAGGTGTAATGAAGTGACTGGTTACAAGTCACTGCAGAACCCTGATACTGACAGTCCACGGAACTGATAACAGAAGTGCAAGCATGCGGTATTTCTTGGAGTAGGCAGAACTCACGTGAAGACTTTGGTTGCTGGGGCAAGTAACCGTTGGGGAAAAATAAGGATAAAGGCATATTCTGGGACTAAGGAAACCTGTAAGGTGTCAAAGACAAGAGAGTAAGAAAGCAGGACATATGAGAATATTGGAGAGGAGACAGGAGAAAAAGACTGGAGGTGAGAATGAGGTCTGTCCAGAAAAAGTCCAGCCATTGTTAATGTAACAAGAACAGTTTGCGCAATATCGACATAACCTGGCAGTCAAGGAGAGTGCACTGGAATACACGTGTATAAACAATGGTGACTTCACTGTACTAATCTGTGCACTGTGTACTGTGTAGCTGTCACAGTCAAAATGACTGAGAAAGTAGAGCAATGAATCAGCATCAGATTTTGCCTTAAGCTTGAATATCCTCCAAGGAAACTATTCAGATGACTCAGAAGGCCACAGCTATGGGTAACTGGTGATTGGAAGCTTCCTCACAACAATGCACCTGCTCATGTGTCACGTCTCATGCAGAGATTTTTGAAGAAACATCAAATCACCCAAGTGACTCAGCTCTGCTATAGCCCAGATTTGGTGCCCTGTGACCTCTGGCTTTTCCCAAAACTAAAATCACCTTTAAAAGGGAAGCGATTTCAGACTGTCAGTGAGA